CCACATGTAGGCAGAAATGACATTGCTCAGTAGAGAACAGGCTGGAGACAATCTTATACACAGCTTGCTCTGAAGATTCTACTCTGCTTGTCAGCCAAATGGGTCTTTTCTGACTTTGCCGAGTTGACCTCAACCAAATATGAGGGGCCAATTAATCTCTCTGGCCCTTCACTGTTGCCTTCGGTCCGCCTCGTGAAGGAGGCCTAACCTCAATGGATGGCCGGATCTTGCCAGATCGGGCCACGTAAAGCCTTCGCCGAGCACCGCAACCTGAAGCATCGGTAGGTCAGGCGAGTCTTGAACCACAGTTGAACTGGGTCGACTGGCCTCATTAGGTCGTTTGGCATATGCACTGACCTGCTACAGGCGACACAAAGGACGGAGCTCTGAATGCTTCACGAAGCGACAAACCGACCACGGAAAAAGACAGAATAGGAAGACGAGACAAAAGAAAAGTGGCCAAATGACAAGCTCAGACAATTTGCATAGTGCGCACGCTGTGCTAGCCGACTTGACCCTGAGGTGTCGTTTATACTCAGAACAGGATATGCAAAAAAAATCTTGTTTGAAAGTGTGAAAAACCTGTCTTTAGGCATTTATAACAACTTTTAGGCATATAAAGCGAGGAATTGATAGCAGGGTGATTTTAAACATACATCAAGATAATGAAAATAAGCTTTCTGAGATAAAGATTATAATGTGTACATTATATATTACATGTAACCATAATATGCATGAGTTATATATAATTGCGATACTATTATAATAGCAATATATTTTACTACGTATAACAGATATCCTACTATCATATCTCTATATAAAAGATAGCAAATATTTTAGTATTTGTATAAAGTATACTAATATATAAAACATTCTTTATTATAACAATAATGTAAGCAAATCCAAATACATAAAAAATTATGCAACATAATATATATTATATTTTTCATTTCAGTAGCATTATTTATTAATTATGTTTTTATGATAATTATGAATATAATTTATAACATTTATTATACAGGATAGTTGAATATATACATAATGTATAGTATAATTTTTTTATATGAAATAAATATATATACAGGCTTAATTGTCAATATTATATTAATCAGTTAATATACACAGCGGAACAATAGGTAATGTATGAAAATAATTAAAATATTATTAATATATAAGTATTTTATATTTAAGAACTATCTTAATTATAATGCATATCATATCATTTATCTTTAGATTCTAACTGTCATATAAATGATTTAATACCAATTTTATATAATACTTTGTATTAAGCATTAACTAAGATAATTTGTTATTTTTACTTTTGTTATTATTGTTATTTATTTATCAACATTTTATTATTATTTCTGTCCAATTAATATATAATATATAACATATAAACTCTTATATTTATATACATATATTTGATAATTAAATAAGTATTATGTATTATATGATATTATAGTTATGCATTATATAATATTAAAACTATACTCATTATAATATAAGCATCATTAATATTACTCTAAATAGTATAATTTAGTAATTCATTATTATTCATGCACAATAGTAACTATAATAGAAATTATAGTAATAACGTATAAATAATATCATTATCTTTTTTATCCAACCAATAATATGAATTTATCTTGGCAATGTCTTGGGGCAACTATATCTTCTTAGAAGTTATAATGGTCCTTAAATTATGCATAAATTGTTCTATTAGTTTCTATTATGAGTTGAGACTGTCCGTGACACAATAATTGTGACTAACATTTCCGTACAATTAAACTCATCTTTCTGTTAGATTAGCGTTTCCAGTTTAGGATTAATTGCATTTTTGACCCTAATAAGATTTTATGATTTAGTGAGCCAATCCAGCAAAACTGTGCGACGAGATAGGCCTTTCTTACTTCGAGTTCTCATAATGCGTTTAAACGCGCTTCTGTTTGAGGAAGTTTGTGTATTGGGGTCCGAATACATGCATGCTCGTCAGAAATGGATTCATCTATAAAGGAAGATTTTACTGATATTGTTCATGAATATCTCTAAAATTTATTCCGCTATAAAATGGGATTTAGGAAAGGCCTGACTTTCATTAATAGTCAGGTCTGCAATGTGATCTATCAGCGGAGTGTTTGCATGTCATGACGATGAGCACAAATAGCTTTCAGATACAGTTGGCGGGATCGAATTTGCTGCCTAGCCTGTATGAGAAAACCCTTATGGATGGAAGACTGGGGAAATTCATTTACCTGATACCCACTCTATTTTATATGCTAAAATCTTAATTATAGTTTATTAATTCACCTTTAGCTACCTGTGCTGACCGAATTCTTACACAAGAAGCCTGGATGGAACCTAAGCATACTCAAACTTTACACGAAATTAAGGCCATTATAACAATCTTCTGCATTTCAAGAGGCGTCTAAAAGTATATGCAACAGTTAGCAGTCGTTTGGAGAGTAAATCCGCTACAAATATGAATCAATGCTGAACCTTTCTCTAAGGATAGTGCAAAAATTGATAGGAATTCTGAAAGGGAATCTGTGTTTGCCATGCTTTATGTAAGGGGATGAAAGACGGGTAGTTGAATTTTCCCACAATTAAATTAGTATACATATAAATTCACACGCTTTGCCCCCAAAAAGTTAATCCTTACATGGTGAACACAGTTTTTATTCAATAACTACTGGTAGTCTGGAAAGCCAATTTATAAATGATGGGAATTCTCTCGGTAATTGATTTAATGGTTATTTTTTTCTGCCATCAATTGGGCTCACTTTCGTTTAGAGCAAAAGTGTGAGTGAAAAAGAGCTTCGAACGACTATCCCATAAGAGGACGACTACCGATTCCTATTGGGCAACTGTCGGTTGAATTTAGTGGAACCTTCCGGCTGAGGCTGTTTCCGGAGCGATCTACTTCGATTCAGACGAAAAAGGGCTAAGCTTTCGTCTGTCATATGATGGACATCATCCGAGAAGAGCATATCTCTTCCAACTAGCTTCAAAAGAAAAGTCACCTGCTTATTCCTGTATGCTATATATAAAACATAAATTTATTCATTTTGGTAAGGTATAGAGTAAGTTGGTGATTTAAAGTATTATGCTAATCTATAAGAATCTGCGGATGTCGGTTTTATGTGTGCTCAAATGCGTACGTAAACCTATGATTTAGGCAGTGATGTCTCAGAGCAAATAGAACTTTATGTAGCATCTGTCCTCGCGTAGTTTAAATATGATTGAGCGAATATATTCATGCAATGACGGATGAGATGAGATAAGATGAGAAGAGATTAGATGCTATGAAATAAAATGAATAAAATGCGAGTTTCGAAGAATCTCCTGAGATAAGATTGATGTGAAGAGATGAGATTAGATTAGATACCCCAAAATGAGCTGAGAAGAGATTAGATTAGATTAATCCTTTTTTCCGAATAAAAGTCGTCTATGTGAAGCATACAGGGATTACACAGACATTCCACAATAGCATAGTTTCCATTTATTCTATGAACAGGTGCCGGCCTAGCCAGGTCAACCATCCCCCTTTCTAGTACCAACATAACCCTGCAGTTGTCGTCCTTACCCAAGCGAGGGAGTAGTCGTGGCAAACGGTAACATCCCTTGACAAGGGCATAGCACAAAGCTATTGACAGCTTGACAGCGATATGATGTATCAGAACATTTTTCTTTCCACCGTCCTCCTCGGCCGCTTTTGTCAGACTTATCGTTAGGCCTACGAAAAAGACAAGAACACCAACCTCGGTATCAGCCATCCACGAAGGTCCTACAATCTGCCCAAAAGTGTAGATGTGCCTGAGTGATTCTGCGGCAACGGATAACCTGTTTGTGCACCGCCTGAGTGAACAGTCAATCTGCCCGGTCTAGTCGGCCAGAGAGAGCGTGAAGCACAGACCTGATTACTTTATGTGCGGGCCCACGTGAGCCCCTTGCATCCACACCAAGCGCTTCACGCACGTGGTTGTGAGGGCAAAGGTCATCGTGAAGATGTCTCGCCGCCGGTCGACCCGTCCAATTGCAGAGGACCGTCTTAAGGCTTGGAGAGCAAGATGTTAGGAGAATCCGCAAATGGGCTGTTGACATGAGGATAGGAGGACGCTGGCTTCGGGCACGGCCAACATCCGGACAGACTAGTCTGGATCCGAGTTGAGGAGGAGGTC